ATCTGATCTTAGTGGACCGTGTGTGGTCAGTCCATCTGTACTTTGGGTTTAGACTATATCAAATAAAGAAAAGAGTGGGCTAGTAATTTTTTGTGTTAATGACCAGAAATATAGTTTGAAAGGGTTATATTCATACAATATAGCATATTTCATGGAGTTCTAAACGTATTCCTCGAGTTCGTACAACAGTACCCTATGAAAGTGCAAAAGGAAGAGATCAAGAATTTCTCACTCTGGTTATGTTTCTTATACACCTTATTTTTGAAATGATGTAGAAATAAAACAATGTCTAATATTATCATGTAGATTTAATAAACTAACCTGTTTTATTCTACTCCTCAACACTAATCTGTTACAGAAGTTATAAGCAGTCTACTGGTACAGCACTCATCACTTAAATCTCTTATATATCGTAAATATATATAATTGACGTCAAATATACATTACATACATAATTATATTAACAGTTGATTATTTTGAAGTCTAATGTTTAAAATGAAAATAACGAATTTCTAAGGTTAGAATGTATTTAACTACATTTATATAAAAATGATCGATCATGTGCTTCTAATTTGGCATTTGCTGTTTCTTGTAGCAATTGCGTGTTACATATTTCATTACACATATAAATGTTTATATAAATAATTATATATAATATATATATATATATATATATATATATATATATATATATATATATATATATACATATATACACTATATAAATATATATATTACAGTTTTTAGATAAATGGATGTCGTAACGATTTTTTTTGTTCATGTTTGTTAATTTACAGATAAAGTGTTAGTAAATACAAGGAAATCATGTGTTTTTAGTAGGCTACAGATAAGCTGTAATGTTTTATTAAAAGAAGGTAATGTTCACAATTACAGATGGGCTACTTGCAGTATAATAAAAATAATTTTAATTTGTATTTCACAAATATAATAACTTGGATTGATAGCCTACTTTTGATACATAAGGAACATATTCATGACGTCCAGTGTATACATTTGTCTTTGTGGAAGTTCATTTTGTTTGTCTCAAGGTTTTTGATGTTTATTATATATTTAACAAGAAAAATATGTTTTATTTATTTTACAAACTAAAACGTAAAAAAAATGAAATGATGTTGTCCGTACGCAAAGCGCCTCGATACAGTGAAAGACACGGCACACACAAAGCAGATTTATGTTATATTGTGTAAAGTTATTGATTAACAATCGGTAAAGTAGAGCACATTATTAGTTATCACATTAATCACTTGAAACAAAATTATGGTTAAGTATATAACATATAAACAATCGAAGTGTGTGTAGACATGTAGTCTACACACGTGGTAAGTTGTTGTGTGTTGTACTTTTATAAACTAACGATCGTAAAACTACTAAACCAGGATAACTTTGCGCCTTGATCTGCGTGATACACATAAAAGTAAAGTTTTTGACCTTTTTTCATGTCAACAACCACTGACCCAGCAGCGCTAGTGGCGGTACATTTCACTTCTATAGTCGTACACCCTCTGTCTCCAGCCATCACACCAACTCTAATCTGTTTATCTTCACATTCATGTAGAGTTACACATACAAGATATAAACCATCATGTGGTGATACAAATTTTCCTGTTGTTTGATTAAAATGTTGACCGTTATATTCAAGTACTTCACTAAATGTTGAAATAACTGATCCAACACTGACAGGTGTGGGATCATCAAGCTCCACATGACAAGCATATCTGTTACATACACGTGACTCTGTTGATTAGAAAACATATGTATGATGTACATGTTTAATTCCACAAATGCTCAGACTATTTGATTCATAATATTTGTGAACTGTTATTTTATTAGTTTATGTTATTAACCCTAAACATAATCTCATTATATCTTTGTATGTTGTTCAGAATGTAAGTAAAATGACCAACTCAAATCAAACAATTATTATTAAAAAAAAAATTTTGTATAAGAATCCATAATGTTTACATAATTTTGTCTAAGACCACAAAGTGAAACACTAGACCACTAGTTTAGTACAGTCCTCAGTTTTAGTGGTGTTAGTTTATCGTGTCGTACGTATTGAAACTACGAGTATATTATGTAATGTAATACGTCACTAAAGGTACAATAAATAAACTAAAGTTGTTCTGTTGTACTTGATAATGAACAATTACAAGATCTGCACAGTAAACCTTTTGTATTGTTCATTTCAAGTCAATTAATGAGATATTAAAATGTTAATCAATGTAATCCTTACTAATGTTTTAAAGTTATTATTATTTTTAGATTTAATCCCTTGTTCGTCTTATTATTTGAAACACAAAGGGATGATGTGACGTTAATTAAAATTAATTAATTAATTGATTTTAAACTGCATCTCTGTAAATGTGTAAATATGGTCTGTCTTTCTTTAAAACATCACGTCATGGTTTATCTGTCTAACGAACTTCGTTTAGAAAGTGTTTATGTCCGTGTATTCGAAATGCAGAGAGTGAAATATTAGGATAAAAAAATAAGAGATTGAGGTTTGAATATTGAACAAAGGTAATAAAAAGTATATAACATTTACCGATTGGTTATCATTGTAAATTATAAGCTAGCTTTTACTATTGTTATATTTAAACGAGAAAATCAAAAGGTAGAATTGTCATTAAATCACAATTGTTATATAAATGTGTTTTAAAATATTTTTTTTTTCAAAGCAAACTTACCGATGAGATGAAAATCGTTAGACAATTTTGAACAAGTATTTTCAAGTTCACCCAGCTAAATTAAAATAAAATAAATAGATGAAAGAATCGCATATTTACATAGGCTATAATACATGATTGGTCTAACGATACTAGAGATTATAAAAACATAAGAAAAGAAAATGGTTAACGTATATTCTTATTTAAAGTAGTAAAATTATGTCTCTGTAAATTAAAAGATAATGTAGTCTAATAACAGAATTTTACTGAGTAATATAGTATTTATGAATGTTGTAAATTATTTTTATACAATTTTTAGAAACATACCTTCTTTATTCTTTCTTCCCTAGTTTCCAAGTCATGGTTAAAGATTTGAATCAGTTTGTCAATGGGCATCAATCTTTGTTGTAGGAGTTTGTACATCACACTGTGCTAAAGAAGGACGATCATAATAAAAGATTTATACAATTAACTATTTTTGTTGTATATTAAAACTCACATACCATTAGTATTTATATAAAAGTTATGATTGTAGGTAAAATTAGTCAACTGCCACTTTTAACAATTTGAAGTAAATAAAATTTCAAGTAATAATATAAATGTGTACAAAAAACACAGCAATTTAAAATTTACTTTTGATTGCAACTTTTCAAATTGGGTTGATGTTTTGGCAATGGTTTTATTATTTTCATCTTGTAAAGAAACAATCAAATCAGAATGGCGTTTAATTTCTTGTTTCATTTTGTCTCTTATATCTTGCATCTCTTTGTTTATTTCGCGCACTTTGTTTTCATATTCTTTCATATCTAGAGACAGTTTCTCTAGTGTTTTGTTTGACTTGTTTTCTTTTTCTTTTAAACTTTCAATTTCTTTGTTCAGCTCCTTTACTTTATTATCTTGTTCACTCATTTGTTTTCTGAGGTTTTTAAAATTCTGCTTTTGTTTTTTAGTCAGTTGTTCAATGTTTACCCCCACGTCGCTCTGTTCTGTTACAAAGTTATCTCTCCATTGTTTTATTTCTGATATGTCATCTGTAGACTTGTGTTGTGTGTCCTGTAGTGAAGATAGTGTTGTTTCAATATAGGCGAGTCTACGCTCTAGGTCAGGATGTTCTTCAACTAAGAATAGTCGAAAATATAAGTTTGTAATTTTAAATGTACGAAATCTTTAATAAAATAGGGTGTTAAAAATTAAAGTCTGTAATTTAACATGTCTCGAACCTTGAGAAATAGAATGTTGAAAATGAAATTACACCAAGGTATATGATGATGCTGTTTAACGTGTTATACCAAAGCATAATATAATATACCAGCTGTGTGTTGGACTTGTGTCTTGAGTTGTCTTGTTAGAAATGTTGCTGTTGTCTGTGTGTCAGGCTGTGGTAAAGATGGCGTTGGTTTGTTGACATCCATGTTGTCCTCGTCTGTTGGATTGGGATTAAAAGGTTTTTTTTTTTAAATTACCGTTAAAGCTAACAATGACTTTGGTGCATATAATATGATTATTGCTTATATATTTAAAACTGTAATGCATATGATAAAACACTCTGATGAAAACAAAAACTTTGAATAAGATACACATTTATACAAACACAAAGTGTTCCAAAATGTCTAGAGTATACAAATCGAACATGCTGTTTTTCTTTTGCACGGCTGTTTAGGAATTTAAAAGTAGATACCAAATTATCTAAAAAACGTATAACTTCCAATAAATCCTTAAGGCTTTTTAAACGTGTCTTAGGGCGAGTACAGTTGCACAAAGCGATTGTACATTCTTCAATTTTATTCAACGTTTTAAGAGTCACTAGTGAAATATCGAATTTATATAAATAAAAGTGGTTAGTTAGTCGGTCGACAGAATAAAATTATATCCATTTAACATAGTGTCTGCAATGTCGTTAAACTAAACTTTAAAAAAAATCCATTGCATTTTTCTCAATTGAAACGCTTACTACTACATGACTATAGGCTTTGAGATTTTTAATTAGAAATTATAAAAACTATTAGAGTACTGACTTAAAATGTGTGACGTCACATCCAACAAGGCCGTGGCTGCTGTGTCCAGTTCTTGTGATAGCTCGATGTAGCTGACAGATGATTGGTCAGTTTTTTCTTCTAGCCACGCCTCACTTTTTGCTACAACCTGTCATGAAAGACAATTTAATTTATGTTTCTACCGTTCAGATTTTAAGTTTTTGTTGTTGTTAGAAATGCACAACATCAATTAAACTTTTAACACTACATCTTGCTGAATGTATAAACGTTTGTTTAAACACATAAGTGTAAAGATTATTGTAAGTTGGTAGAAACTTACATTTTTCAATTCTCCTATAACAGGTTCCAGTAATTGTATCTGTTGTTCCAAATATTTCTTGTGCTTTGTAACAAGCTTGACCTGAATTCTTGAAGGCATCTATATAATAATATTACTGTCACTTTTAAACTTAATGTTTTAATATATAATAAATTATTGTGCATATAAACCAGAACGTTTTATATCCACCCATCGCCAGCACCTTTCAATAACACACACGTCATAAAATATGAAATTAATGTTAACATCCTATGGAGATTATTTATGTAACATTGGGACGTGAGGTTTTAACATATTCTGTTGTTTGACTGTAATATAGTATTCTGTTGTTTAGATGTAACATATTCTGTTGTTTAGATGTAACATATTCTGTTGTTTGACTGGGTATTGAGTAGGTTGTAAGTTAATGACTTCTCGTTTCTGTTATCGGTCGTTTGTGTATCATGTCACAAGTGTATCCTGTGTTTTGTTTAACCTCTCTTTTGTAAAATCTAGCATTAAAACCTTATGTGAGCTATCATTTGTGTTTTGATTTGGGGTTCAAATTACGTTTAAGTACTTTGGTTGACTTCATATGAACTTTGATTTTCAAACTAAAAGGAGAGCACTTTAAGATATCGTGCGTTCATTTATTTATAAATCAACAATAACTGATAAAACATTTATTTTAAGTTCGAAATAAAAACGTCCTGCTGTGTTAGTGACACCCCAAGTTTATGTTTTTTTTTGTGTTGTACGCTAGCGATAATACATGTGTGTAGTTGTGTGTAAGACATGTTGTGTGCGGTCGGCCTAGTGACCTATTTAAAATAACATATCTATAAATACTGTTAAAGTAAAAGATATTAGGTAATACTGTTTCTTACACACATCACATTAAATGATACTTACAATTTCAATTCTATATCAATATCAAAGTAATGCCAACTAAAAACTTTAAATAACAAATCTAGGTGTGTGAAACTTTGTCGTCTTGACAACTTTGTTACCTAAACAGCAGTTAATTTCGGGATTTCCCGTTAAACTGTTTCAGTATCATATACAAGCTAGTGTCTAGCCGCAAAACGAACCAAACAGAGAATATTTACAGCCTTCAATCTGACAACTAAATGTACTAAGGTCAAATTAACGAAGGTAAACAATACATAAGTTGTATCATAATAATATAATGGTAAAATGTAAATATTTTGAGTTTAGTTGATCAATAAATCGAGATATTCTAACATTACTTTACTTCCTGTATTAAACGACTATGTCGTTCCTTATAGTAGAAATTATGTTGTAGAGCTTGTGTTTCTGATATTTCAAGTGTAAATATGAGATTAAGATTTGGGTTGTTTGTACAGTAGGTATACAGATGATGATGTGGTTTATGGATTAAAAAGTTAGAGTTAAGGTTGAGGAATGAAATGCATGTAAAAATAAAAATAAATAGGGCACCTTAAAGGGAAAATGAAAATATGTGTTTTATATCTTGTTGGGGTCATGAGTTTTGTATTGACCGTTTTATACAGACAATAAACTGTGTTTGAAATCAGAGTTTCTTCCAGACATCTCTTCAGGGTGGGTGGGGCATATGTATGTATAGTGTTTGAGTGAACTTAATTTTAAACCCGTAATACTGACTAATTTTTAAAAGTAGGTAACCTATAAACTAGAAGCACGTTTTTGTAACCACTCATCTCGTATTTAATTTGTTTAGATGCGTCCTAGAATTCAGGTAAAGCTTGTTAAAGAGCACGTGAAATATTTAGAGGAACAAGTACGATTTATGGAACCTGCATTTGAAATTATGAAAAAAGTAAGTAGTCAGCAGTTATGTGGCAGTTTTTTTTTTTAATATTTAATTAACAAATTCTATATTATACTATCATGTACTAAGTTACTCAGGTTTTTCACTTATTCACTTTTAACATTACCAGGCCGTAGAGAAAAGTAAAGCGTGGATAGAAGACAAAAATGAAAACTCGTCTGTCTCCTACTCCGTGCTATGCCAGGAACTTGAATCAGCGACCACGGCAATGTTGGATGCATGTTCCAAAATTATGAGTAAACATTTTAATGCATTTTTAGAGCTTGCGACTGCTCACACAAAAGTTACGAGTTTGGGTCTCGGCAAATCTTGTTCATACGGCGTGTCCTTTTAAGGGATTATAATGGTCCAATGGTAGACTACTTTTACCGCGTAAATTATCGAGTTCGGATCTCGGACTCCAGTTTTTGTGACGTATCTAAGCCCATTTATCTCTGACGGGTACATAATCCTGATTAGGGAAACAAAGATGGCTGAGCATACACCTTAACAAACTACCCCTTGTATTCTGACGTCATTAACACCAATAATCGCTAATCCATCTAATTGTCCTGGAATGGATGATGACGACGATGATGATGATAATGATCATGATGATGGTGATAATGATGATCATGAATTTACTCATTGTTATAAAATAAAACATAAGTTTACATTTCAAACACAATTACAAAAAGATCAAGATTATTTTTTGTGTATTTTATTTTATTTTATTTTATTTTTTATATTTTCCATTGAAAAGTTATCGAAGTTAATGCAATCAACTAACTTACGCAAACAAATATGTTTAGTGTATACTTACGTCGTCTTGGTAATTGCAGAAACTGACACCATTGGAAAATGATTAATAAACCATTAATGCAATGAAAAAAACTAGTTATAAACTCTTCATTCTGTATTCATATAAAACAGATGACAACAAAGAGCCGGTAGATGTCGAGGAAGAAGCGCCATCATTATTTCAGCCAATACCACACACTACAGCAACAGAAAAACTTGACTGTTGTGAATCTACACCCCAAGTGTTTAATCTAACTAAACCTACCATGGGTATAAAAGCAAATTAGGTTAAACCAAAGAAATATGTTAAATCCGAATAAAACAGTTACTTGCATTGAAAAAATTGTAAGGCAAACGATACGATTTTATAATCTAGTTTTAACATTTGTTTCATAAATTATTACTTTCAAATACATTACAGAGATAATTAGCAGACTGAAGCTTATAGAGACAAATGTAAGTTCTCTGCAAGACACGGCTCATAAAGCTAAAATTGACATATCAGAATTAAAATTATGGAAAGATAACTTTGTAACAGAAACATGCAATATGAATTCAAAAATTGAACAACTAAGTAGGAAACAAAAGCTTAAATTTAGAAACATTAGAAAACAAATAAGTGAACAAGAAAACAAAGCAAATGAGCTGAACAAAGAAATTGAAAGCTTAGAAAAAACAGAAACCAAGTCCAACAAATCACTAGAGACGTCTAGAGACACTGTCTCTAGATTTGAAAGAATATGAAAACAACCTACAGAAAATAAATACAGAGATGCAAGTTTATAGAGATGAAATTAAAAGGTTATCTGATTTGATTTCCGACTTACAAGACGTCGGAAAACAAAATGCTGTTGAAAGAGCTACCCAATTCGAGGATTTATATGCTAAGGTAGTTTTGAGCTTTTAATAACATATTTCTTAACAGCTAATTCAGTTGAACACAACAATATATTATTTATATGCTACATATTGGATTGTACTGTCTCTTGAAACAATTATATTCCTACCCCTCCCCCCCCCCACACACACATACAATCTAAGTAGTTTTTTTTTTAAATTGAATATGTTTTATAATATGTTAAAATTACATTTGTAGTATCTCTGTAGTTAAAGTTTGAAACTTCATTTTGAAATTGTTTATTCTGAGATCCATCATGATGGTGGGAGGGGAAGTTCAATTTTCCCATCTAAACCATAATGAATTTAAGGAAGCATCGTTGTGTTTATCGATCAATTGTTGCCACATAATTTGAAATAGTGATGGGGTGACCGTAGAGAACATAACTCCCAGATGTACATGATTACGTCACTGTCATTCTAAGTAACTTTAAAAACCCTCCTTTTAGCACAGTGTGATCAACAAAGTCCTACAACAAAGATTGATGCCCATTGACAAACTGATTCAAATCTTTAACCAAAACCTGGAGACAAGGGAGACAAATATCAGAAAGGTAAAAAATAAAAACATATGTATGGTTTTTTTAACGAGCACGAAACTTATATAGTACTTAAACCCTTTTAATTATTTTTATTTTCATTTTCGAGTCTTAAAACTCAAAATATAAAATGATTTTTAAACACAGAGGTTTAAATAGATTAAATAAAAAATTAAACTTTAATTAAAATGTATGCTATTGTATAATGGGAATGTAATTTCATGTAGGATCTGTAGAAGTTCATGTTAAGAAATTGTTGAAATGTGTCCACGCACTTCGAAAGTTGTTGTTAATTTTTTTTTAACAAGTACATTTTGATGAGATTTTTGTAATGATTTTCTGTAATTTGTAAAGTTTAACTATACTTTAAATGTTTTATAGACAGTTAGCTACACAAAGTTGACATTTCGTTTATTATTTTTTGTAATGTTAAATATAAGTATATATATATATATATGAATTTATAATATATATATATATATATATATATATATATATATATATATATATATATATATATACAGAGAGAGATTTGTAACTGTATCAGTAGTGGATTTAATTATTGCTATTTTAATGCAGAACAAGAAGTTAAAAGCCATTTTGATTGCATTATAACTTTACAAGAAGATAGAAACAAAAATGAGGCTAATATTTCAAACACGATTGAAACTTTAAATATGAAGGTAAGAAAAAATTCTTTTCACGGCAAATCTTACTTTCTTCTTATTTGAACATATATGTCTAAAAATAAAAACATTGTTTTAAAGCGCAGAACCTTTACGTAGCTAATATATAACACAGTAAGATTTATATAGGAATACTAAACTAAATATGTGCCAATTATTGAAGTGATTTAACAAAAATGTAATTTAAAATTTCTTTAAAGATTGAAACTAGCGCGAAAGAAGTTTTACGGCTGTCAACAGATTTAAAAACATTAGGTAAGATTTTGGTGCATTATATTTTGCTTCAAACTTTAATTTTCAGTTTAAAACTTCATGTTTCATTAACTCATTAGTTGTTTCATTAAAAAAAGGGGCGTTGTCTAGTGGTACAATACACAATGTTAACCCGAAAGTTTGGACCCGGTCACGAGACATGTGTCCAAGTAATGCGATGCCTTAGGGAAAAATTAAATAGTCAGAGAAAAACACTCACTTTTCATGCTTCAGCCGTAATACAATGAATTTGTGTGAGTTAATTACTGAACATAACAATCCGTTTTCTAAAATCAATTGTTTATTTTATTTAGGGTGGAGCACACCGAATACACATGGCTAATCATTAAACACACAATGTGAGACACTTGCCTATAACAGACTACATTTGTGTTTTCTTCTAATGCACAATATCCTCTTTTGTAGTGTCATGTAAAAACAAAACAACGAAACTCACATATGTCCATATTATCAGACAGTGTATAGCATATCGAGTAAACAACAAAAGTAATCATAATTGCTACTTTTTCAAAATATCTTCACAAATAATATGTAGTGATAGTAAACATTATTGTATCGTTTTATTATTGTAATTGTTACATAGGCCTACTAGCTTCTAAACATCATTTGAAGCCTCCGATATAAAAATAAAATGTTAACACAACCACCCACCACAAAGCACACATACAAACCGCCACATAATAACGTATTCTGATAACCGTCTCTTTAAATATGTAAACAATGATTTTTATCAGCAGAGCCTCGTGTGTTTTTACCTTACTTCTGTCAAATTTATTTGAAGACCGACAAAGTGTTCGCTGCAGGGTCAATTATTTCTACATTCCATAGTGTCATGGAACGTAACGGCAGCCAATTTAATCTGACAACAGGAAAACTTGTAGCACCAGATGATCGATGCTATCTTATTATTGTAACTTTACAGGAGAGTGATGATAGACTAATTAGTGTAAGGGTATGTGTTGAAGGCAATTCTAAAAAAGTGTATTTGTAACTTCAGCTGTCTGTGTTTCAACTATTGTTGACATGAAGAAAGGAGAAAAACTTTATTTGAATTAATTTTGGAAGATGTACGAGCTAAGCTACAAACTAGCAGTGGGTTCACTATAGTTAGTTTATAGATGTGTATCGTATGTACAAATTTTAAAACATAAACGGTAAGTCAGCTAAAGTGCTTTAAGAGATAATCTGCATATGTAGTTGTACGAATTGCGAAAGCAAATATGGGAAAACCTAATGTTGATATCGATCAATGTCTGTACCTAAAACTGCTAAAAGCTTTTTAGTGGTAAATATATAAGATGTAAAACAAAAAATCGGGCATGTGAGGTGGTATACTTGTAATAACTAAGCCTAAAGAGTTGTATACGTAAAAGGCATAATGAAATCTATTAATAACATAGTCTGTTCTAGGTCCGCGGTTTGATGCATCGTTCAAAGACTAGTAAAACACGCATTAACAAGTTATGTCAAACACTAGCACCAAGTACAGAGTATCGAATATACCAAATTTTATTGCCAGTCTTTATGATCTCCTATCTCGTTGTCGATCTGTCAGATATTTGTTCACATATACGGTAAAACATCTGATCTTATTGGGCCATGTGGGGGTCAGTCCATCTGTACTTTGGGTTTAGGCCATATCAAATAAATAAATGAGACGGCGAGTGTTTTTTTATGTTAATTATCAGAAATATAATTTTTAAGCTGAGATTTGAATAACAAAAATGATCTTAATGTCTAACTTATAAAAAACAGTTTAACATTATGGCATTTTGAAAGGGTTATATTTAATAAACTATAGCATAGTGCATGGAGTTTTAAACGTATTCCTCGAGTTGATGCAACAGTACCCTATGAAAGTGCAAAAGGAAGAGATCAAGAATTTCTCACTCTGGTTATGTTGCTTATATACCTTATTTTTGAAATGATGTAGAAATAAACCAATGTTTAATATTATCATGTAGATTTAGTAAACTAACCTGTTTTATTCTACTCCTCAACACTAATCTATTACAGAAGTTATAAGCGGTCTTCTGGTACAGCACTCAACAATTAAATCTCTCATATATCAAAATATATAAATGACGTCAAATATACATTACATGTATGATGTATATCAACAGTAACTCATTTTAAAGTCTAAAATGTGTCAAATGAAAATAACGATTTTCCTAGGTTAGAATGTATTCTACTACATTTATATATAGATAATGGATTATGTGCTTCTGATTTCGCGTTCGCTGTTTCTTGTAGCAATTATGTGTTACACTTTTTATTACACATAAAGATGTTTATATAAATAGTTATATAAATAACTATTTTAGTTTAATAGATGTACGATTTTTGTTTGTGTTGATGTTTGTAAATTTAAACATACAGTGTTACTATATAAAAGGAAAACCTGTTTTTAATACGGATAAGCTGTAATTTATTTGTTGGACGAATGTAGTGTTCACAATTACAGAGACTTGTAGTAAAAAAAAATAATTGTAATTTGTATTTTACAAATTATTAACTTGGATTAATATCCTACTTTTGATACATAGGGCACATATTGATGATGTACAGTGAAGATATTTTAACATTCGTCTTTGTGGAAGTTCATTTGGTTTGTCTCAAGGGTTCTGATGACAGTTACATATCTAACAAGATAAATAAGTTTTATTTTTTTTATAAACCATACGTATTCAAATACGTTTGTGCTCCGATACAGTGAAGGAAATTGTACATACTATATTCTATAACGTTGGTCAAGTAGAAAACAAAATTATTGATCATATTAAATCAATAGAAACAAAACGATAACTAAACAAATATCAAATAAACCATTCAAGCGTTTGTAGACATGCAGACTACACACTTTGTAATTTGTTCGCGTGTGTTTAACAAGATGGTTGCATATTTTATTCTTTTAAAAATGTACCATCCACCATGTTTTGTGTTGTACTTCTATAAACTAACGACAGTAAATCTGCTTAGCCAGGATAAAGCTGCATCTTGGTCTGCGTGAAACACTTCAAGGTAAAGTTCTTGACCTTTCTTCAAGTTAACAACCACTGACCCAGCAGCGCTAGTGTCGGCACAGTTCACTTCTATAAACGTACACCACCTGCCTCCAGCCACCACAGCGACTTTAATCCATGTATCTCCCAATTCATGTAGAGTGACACAGACAAGATATAAACCATCATGTGGTGATACAAATTTTCCTGTTGTTTGGTTAAAATGTTGACCGTTATATTCACGTACTTCACCAAATGTTGAAATAATTGATCTAACACTGACAGGTGTGGGATCAGCAAGCTGTACATGACAAGCATATCTGTTACATACACGTGACTCTGTTGATTAGAAAACATATGTATGATTTAAAAGTTTAATTTCATGAATGGTATGACTATTTGATTAATAAAGTTTGTGAATTGTTGTTTCATTAGTTTATGATATTTACCCTAAAGATTATCTCATTATATGTGTTTTATATGCAGTTGAAAATGTCAGTAAAATTGGTAAACCCAAATAAAACATTTTAAACAATAAACTGTGTATAATAATTCATAATGTTAACATAACTTTGTCAAAGACCACAAATTGAAACACTAGACCACTAGTTTAGTACTGTTTCGCTGAGTGAGTGGCTTTGATTATTTGATTCAATACCATTTTGTCTTCACCACTACCATGTGGAGATATTGTGTTCACAGACATGTATCGTACCATCATTCACCAAAACGACATGGACGACCACCAATCAATGCGAGGAACGCAGGCTTCTTTTCTTATCTTTAATTCTGTGTTCACAACTCATGTACATCCTTCCACCAAGGCCAAGAAAATCATACTAACTCACGCAAAATACCCAGTAACCAGTCTCTACACCAGAACGTCACTGTCGCACTATACGCGTCATCATTCATTGCGTTCAAAATTTCGCTCCAACATTCATTCGCGCCGATCTATAGCATAGATCATAACATGCATCATAACAAGTACGGTCATTAGTTTTAGTGGTGTTCGTTTATCCTACCCTGCGTATCTAAACTACGAGTGTAGTAGGTGACGTAATACGTCACTAAATGTACAAAAAATGTTTCATGCGTTATGTCATAATCGTGTCTACGACAAATTCCAGAAAGAGACTTGCCCGAATGCCGTTTGCCCGAAGGCCGATTTCCCGAATGAACACTTGCACGAATGCAAAGGTCATCTATCGGGCAAGTTTCATTTGGGAAATCGTCCGGCTCCAGTTATAATTATACAATCCGTATGAAATCACACTGTAGTTTAATTATAAGGTTTATCTATCGAAACAAGAATTACTAGAACTAAAGTTATTCTGTTGCAATTAATAATGACAGATAACAAGATCTGCACCGTCAAAATTTTGTATTATTTATCTCAGGTTACAGGCAATTAATGAGATACTAAAATGTTAAAAATGAAAAATGAATACATGTTTTCATGCTATTATTATATTTTAGATTTAATCCCTGTCTCTTATAGGACTCCGTCTTAATCTTAAAAACATAAGGGACGATGTGACGTAAATTGGAATTAATTATTTAATTTTAAGGTGCAGCTGTGTAAATGTCTTGGTATAATAGTTCGACATACCAGGTGGTGTAATGTACCAGGTGGTGTAATGTACCAGGTGGTGTAATGTACCAGGTGGTGTAATGTACCAGGTGGTGTAATGTACCAGGTGGTGTAATGTACCAGGTGGTGTAATGTACCAGGTGGTGTAATGTACCAGGTGGTGTAATGTACCAGGTGGTGTAATGTACCAGGTGATGAAACAAACATCTGTCGGAAACCCACGGGTCTAGAGACTGGCACTATGGGTGAGTGAAATGTTCCATTCTTTATTACGTTATGGTCTGTCTGGCTAACGAACATCACGTTATGGTCTGTCTGGCTAACGAACATCACGTTATGGTCTGTCCGGCTAACGTACATCACGTTATGGTCTGTCTGGCTAACGAACATCACGTTATGGTCTGTCTGGCTAACAAACATCACGTTATGGTCTGGCTAACAAACATCACGTTATGGTCTGTCTGGCTAACAAACATCACGTTATGGTCTGTCTGGCTAACGAACATCACGTTATGGTCTGTCTGGCTAACGAACATCACGTTATGGTCTGTCTGGCTAACAAACATCACGTTATGGTCTGGCTAACGAACATCACATTATGGTCTGTCTGGCTAACGAACATCACGTTATGGTCTGTCTGGCTAACGAACATCACGTTATGGTCTGTCTGGCTAACAAACATCACGTTATGGTCTGTCTGGCTAACGAACAACACGTAATGGTCTGTCTGGCTAACGAACATCACGTTAAGGTCTGTCTGGCTAAAATTAATTTTTTAAGGCAAACTTACCTATAATATTCAAATCTTTGGACAATTTTGAAATAGCACCTTCAATATTCTCCAGCTAAAAACGTATTTTATAAAACGAATGTGAAAATCCCATAGTTACGTACAGCATACAATTAATGCACTGATTTTAGTTGGTAAGGGCATATTGTAAGAATAGAAAATAATTTAAAACTTGTGTTATTTTTAAATATATGTTATTAACTTGTCTATTTACATAGTGTTGATAATTAATGCATGATTTATAAACGTCGAAATTTATTTTTTAATAGAATTATTTCTTATATACCTTCGTTATTCTATCTTCCCTTGACTCCAACTTCTGGTTAAAGATTTTAATCAGTTTGTCAATAGGCATCAATCTTTGTTGTAGGACCTTGTTCATTAAAATGTACTAAAGAGCAGAAAATTAAATACAAGCATTAAAATTTTTATTATTTTTACTGCACAATTATAACTATCAAAAACATGTATCTTAAAATTAGTATTATATTAAAGGTATAACTGTTGATACAGTTCATAAGTTGTCTTTTGATTTATAAAATGTGAAATAAGTTATCTGGCCAGTATATCTAAAATTGTGTACACAGATAATTAGAAATTTTACCTTTTCTAATTGAGTTGATGTATTCAGCATGTTTTTAGAAATCTCTTCTTGTAGGGTAGACATCTGATCTGAATGTCTTTTCATTTCTTGAGTTATACTATCTGTCATGTCTGCGTGATCTTGCATCTCTTTATTTATTTTTTGTAAGTAGTTTTCATATTCCTTCATATCTTGAGACAGTCTCTCTAGTGTTTTGTTTGACTTGGATTCTTTTTCTTTTAAATTTTCAATTTCTTTGTTCAGCTCCTTTACTTTGTTATCTTGTTCGTGAATTTGTTTTCTGAGATTTTTAAAATTCTGCTTTTGTTTTTTAGTCAGTTGTTCAATGTTTACCCCCATGTCACTCTGTTCTGTTACAAAGTTGTCTCTCCATTGTTTTATTTCTGATATGTCATCTGTAGACTTGTCATTGGCATCTTGTAGAGAAGATAAGGCTGACTCTATCTGCTCAAGTCGACTCAATATTTCTATTGCAGAATGAAATAAAGTTACTGGCAAATGTATAGCTAATAAATACTCTTTCTTAAAAAATAAACAAATTTAAAGTACAAACCTTTACATTATAAGTTTTATTATAGTTGTTTTAGTTTAAAAATAATATATACCCGATATTTGTAGAACATGTTTAGTAACTTGATGTGTTGATTCACTATGTTCGAGTTCTTCTGTTGCTGTAGTTTGTGGTGTAGGCTTAGAAAAAGATGGCGTTCCTTTATCGACATCTATGTGTTCTTGATTCTCATCTGTTGTTATAAAAATCAAATATATATTTTGTGTTATATTATTATTTTAAGTAATGGTTTATTTTTCATTAACATTTTGATGGTACAAAAAATATTGTTAATTACTATTTAAAAAAAAATTCTTCGAATATATTTACATTTAACTTACAACAGTGGTTACAATAAAATATTTTTCTTGTATTTTACCATATGTTATGAAGAAATAAATATATTTAAAACATATTCTATCTAGTAAAATTCTTAAATTATTTACCTATTATTTGTGACGTTGCATCTAACAAGGCCATCGTCGCTGATTCAAGTTCCTGGTACAACTCCATGTATGTGACAGATGGCTTGTCATTTTTATCTTCTATCCAAGTCTTACTTTTTTCTACTGCCTGATAAAATATTTGATAAAAGTCCTAATATGTGTGTCAATTTATCAGCACATCATAGTTGTATTTAGTAAACTGTGCTAGCTTTAAGAAACTTTTTTGTTTTTGGTTAGCTGTAAAAAATATCTTACAATTTTCATAGCTTTAAGGGCAGGTTCAATAGTTTGTATCTGCTCTTCCAAATATTTCATGTGTTCTGTAACATGTTTGACCTGAATTCTAGATCGCATCTTAGTAAATACAGATCTCACTTTTTAGTCTTTTTCTTGTCGAGATTGTTCACTGAAATATGTGTAGAATTATTAGCACAATCTTAGAAAATGTTCTAATTAAAGAGAAATAAAGCTGATTAAAGCAAGTTGAGTTGTAATTAGAATAGGTCTATACGCCTAATACCAAGCACATTTTTTTTTAAATTATTAAGTATTGAACTAAACTTTATGTTTTTTCTTTTAAATATTGCTTTATATCACGAATACGATTTTCTCTTATAGACATTTTTTTGTAAACAGAGTAAAATATATAAAAACGACATAAATAATTTTAATTACTGCGAGGACCGTTACGTCGTTGTCGTTTTATGATTTTTTTATAGTTATCTGTGGTTTTCTTCATAAATCTACAGAATTACACATAATGGAGTGAAAGTTGCTAAAACATTTTACAAACACACCGTCAAGAAGAATATGGAAATATAAATACAAACTCCTACTTGTGGTGTGTTACTGTGCTTGTCTCTCGGCTGTTTGTGCTGTAGGGTTATTGATACAACTGTTCTGTGTTGGTGTCAGTGACCTACATTTTTAGTGTTAGTGTGCTAGTAATGTTTTCATTTGGTGTGTAAGTGACATACATGTTGTGGTTTGGTATGTAAGTGACATACAGGTAGGTTAGTGTCTACATTTTAGTTTTCTGGTAGGTCAGTGATATATAATTTGACATAACGTTTTCAAGATTTGTATGAATAACATAATATGTAGCTCATAGAAATGTTTCTTAGTTACACATTACATTTCAAATCGTACTTACAATTTAAATTATACATAAAACTGTGAGTAATATGTTACTTTCAATGAAGTAATATAAATATAACGTATATTTTCTGATCAAATGTGTTATGTGTAAAAACAGGTAATATCGGGGTTTCCCGTTAGGTTGTTTCAGTTTCGCTCTGAGTCACAGATGTCCGGACACACCGAACTAATAAATTACTGGCATTAAACGGACACAACTAAAGTACTGAGGTAAAATTAACGTACGTAAACAATACATAATTTGTGTCATAATCAGTGGCGGGACTAGAAAAAATGGACCACCCCGCAAAAAAATGGATATAGATATATAAGAAAATACAAAAATACGAGCAAATAATACTTATTTCGGGCTTGTTCGAGTTTTGAAAAGAAATTAAAAATTATTGTGTGTGTGTGCTCTTATTCTGTTTTGAAAATAATCTCTGTTTCAATATATGTCTGCTATAATGCTTCCTATAAGCAAGTCGGTCAAAAGTATATGATGCATAAAAGCTTTGTATGTGTAATAGTTTCTCACGTTATGTTTATTTTTATGTTTTTTTGTGTAATTTATATTATTAGATTTAAATACATTTCATTTTTTATACTATGTTGTTCTTTTTTATGCATTTTAAACAAAAAATAATTAAGAGAAGTAATTGCTGTCTATTGTGTTTAGTGCAAATCTGTTAAAAGGGGCTTAAGAGCACACATATTTGACTATTTAAAAAAGGGTTATAACACATTGAAGTGGTTTGAACTTTTGCCTATCTTTCACACTACAACTCATGCAAATTTTTTTTCTTTTACGTAACATCGTGTGTTTGCTACTGTAGAGCATCACAACTGTAATAGATCTTTTTTTTTACAAATCCAATATCAAGGTTTACGCTGATTGTAAAAGAAACACCCATCGACGACATCAGAGGCGTCACGGGGCTCTTGGGACACGACCCCCGGCGGAGGCCCCTAATGCAGCGAGACTGATGATTCAAGTAGTACACCTATCCCCCTGTGCAGGACACCCAATAAGCGGACCCCTGGTGCTTAGATAATCACTGGGGATCTCGGGGCGCTCAACTACACATTTTAAACAAATGTTAGGTCTATGAATACTCAAAACTTTTCCAAATGTTATCGAAGTTGGGATGGTCTCAACTACTTTTCCTAAAGGCTATTGTGAAAAACTCAAGGGAGAGAATTCAAATTCTATACGTTTACTATCGTATTTGTTTGTAAAACGAAAAGAAATAAACGTAAATAAAACCGAAATAGTACAGAACAGTAGATCTACCAATACAATTAACAAATGTTGTACATTATAAAATCACAATGCATTGTGGGCCCCTAATCAATGCTATAAAGAAACAAAAGTTGTTTCAATATCTAGCGGCCTCTCGCGCGATAGACTTTGATTTACTTTCAAAAGAATTTTGCCGACAACAGCGTGTGTTTGATTGTAGGAGAAAGAGGACTCGGGATGGTGTCTATAGAAGAAAGGTAATCCAACCGCAGCTACAGTATTCTTTTTACAAAACAACCATGAAGTCAAAAATGTAAGAATATTATTTTTTCTTAACTATAAAAACTGATTATGATCGGCTGTGGGCCCCTAAACTGCCTGCACCCACCGCCCCTCCCTCGCATTGCGGGGTCTGGCGGCACTGTAGTTCCCCCCCCCCCCCCTGGTCATAATCAAGTATGTAACTCTATAAAGATTATTCGATCCATACACCCATACATCATTACATTATTATAACTTCCGTTAATAAAAAACGATGTCGTTAATTATAACTGTATTAACTTTGTTAGAAATGTTGAAGACATTTTGTTTCTGATGGTTGGAGTAAAAATACATAAGAGTAATATTTTGATTGTTAATAATGTAGGTAGGCCTATACAGAGAAGGATGTAGCAGGTAACAAAGACAACTTGACTATTCTCTGATCCTGACATATACATTTACACTCAGATTACCCAGCACCATAGTACATGCGTCGAATAGCCAATAATATAACAGTTGCGGATGAAAGTTGCTTAACTTATACTAGTTTAAATGTGTACATTTATATAATATGAACACGTGTCAGGCTAGGTTTTAAATAGTAGGCATTATGTAGAATATGTTAAAAGGCACGTTTTAAAATCCACGAACCTCATTTTTTTTGTTTTAATGCCTCATAGAATTAAGATAAAACTTGTTGGAGAACATGTGAAATATTTGGAGGAAAAGATACGAGTTATGCCCTTGAAATTATGAAACGTGTATGAAATCAGTCCTTTTTTTAATTGAAAGATGAAATCAGGTTGTTCTGGAAGTGCAAGGGAAAGAGGACCTTTTGATATACTTTAAGGACAAAGAGTGTTTGAAGAGTTTCATTCCTAGCAGATATATTCTAACATCCACATAAGCTTAACTTGAAGTTTCAGGAAAAACGAACGAATATTATCTCTTTTCATGATAATCGCGGGTCATTTTTATCAAAGCTGCGAAATTGGCAAGAAAAATAAACCTTGGAAATATTGCCATGGTTGAGAAACTCTGCAGTGTGGTAGATGAATCTTAATGTGAAATAAATAAAAAAATTTAAAGAGGATTCTGGGCTTTTTTTTAATATCATGAAAACGAACTGCAACATTATTTTCCCCTGAGCTAAAAAAAAAAAGAAGAATCTGCATTGAGTCGTTACCCACTCTCTGCATCCCTTAATGTTGCCAGCATTCTTCATAAATTAAAAGATTAAATCTTGGATTTGAGGAATGATTCCGCGTAACTTACCGTGTTAAACACAACTTTGGTATAGAATGCACCATTTATTCGAAAACGTTAAGTTGATTGTCTTTCGAGTTTTAGTTCCTTTTTTATCTAAACCTACATATATTCGTGAGAATTGACTTTCAAAACTTCTCCAATGAAAACAAAACAAAGAAAGAAATTAAATACTGATAATGACGTGACGTTGGCATTAAACAAAAATCAACGGCAAACGTTAAGGCTAGACATTAGCATGCAATTTCATTCATGGTATTAAAAAAAGTTATCAAGAAAAATTCATATTTAAAGTCTAATTAAAAATCTTATTTTAGTGCTTATTAATTCCCTTACTAATATTGACTTTTTAATTCTATGGGAGTCGCGGGTTACTTACTTTTCATAAAAAGGGGTCGCCACCAGAGTTTCTTCCAGGCATCTCTTCGGGGGGGGGGGGGGGGGGGGAGAGGGGAGGGGGGGGAACACTCCCCCCCCCCCCCCCAACGGAATTTATATAGAAAATACATATTTTGTATCACATCACGGGCTACATGTACATAACCTGTTATATGTGTATTGACATCTAAGAATATTCAAGTTAAATCTGCCAAGGTAACCCTACCCTATCACATATTGATTATACAGGAAGAAGAGGGGAGTTGGACTTTAACTGTAAGCTAACAAAAATATATATAACACAATTTTAAGATACATATTTATATTATATATATATATATATATATATATATATATATATATATATATATATATATATATATATATATTAAATAGAGAGAGACAGAGAGAGAGAGAGAGAGAGAATGAAAGAGAGATAGTTATAAGTGTTGAGTGCTCATTTACTAATTCAATAATACTGAATATAAGAAAATAGTGGTTTTTTAATACAGAATAATTGTAATCTATAGTTTTTTAATTGAATGAATTTGATAATCAAAATAACAGATATTTGCAGTATAATAAAACATCTTTTTTTTTCATTTACAAATTCATAATTAGGATTAGTATTTTAAATACATAGAGTTAATATTCATTTTGTATAGAAAACATATTCAGGCATTCGTTTTGTTTTTAAAGTTCATTTTATTTAAGTCAAAGTTCTAGATCTTAATTACATTTTCAATAAGAAAAATACGTTCATCTTTAACACATAAAATGTAGGTATGCAAATTTAACTAAAGATTTTGACCATACACCTAGCGCTCACATACCATGAAGATGGTGATGGCGTTGAAATAGATGGACCTGTTTAATTATGGCTTAACAAATTAAATAACATATAAATTATTAAAGTTGCTTTTAAAACATGTAGTTTACACACATAGTTGTTAGCGTGTTTAACATGGTGGTTAAATAATTTAATTTTTTTGCGAATTAACCATCCACCATGTTTTGTGTTGTACTTCTATGAACTAACTATAGTAAAACTACTGTAGCCGGATAAGGTTGCGCCGTGATCTGCGTGAGACACTTGAAAGTAAAGTTCTTGACCTTTCTTCATGTCAACAACCACTGACCCAGCAGCGCTAGTGTCGGCAGATTTCACTTCTATAGATGTACACCACACGTCTCCAACCATCACATCAACTGTAATCCGTTTATCTTCACTTTCATTTAGAGTTACACAGACAAGATATAAACCATCATGTGGTGATACACATTTTCCTGTTGTTTGATCAAAATGTTGACCGTTATATTCACGTACTTCACAAAATGTTGAAATAATTGATCTAGTACTGGCAGGTGTGGGATTAGCAAGCTGTACATGACAAGCATATCTGTTACATACACGTGACTCTGTTGATTAGAAAACATATGTATGATGTACATGTTTAATTTCACGAATGGTGTCATCCATTTATGACGTCCACAAAAATTTGGAATTTTAACACAAATGTTTATTGAAGATGCTGTAGACCGAACATTGTAATGTCATTTGTGTCTGTCTAGCTATTAACGAATAAATGGGTGGGGTAAATTCAGCTAATCAACGTGACGTCATTATATTACTCTATCACAATTTAATGCTACATATTATGTTTCCATAACAAACCACCTGCCCCCCTTTAATCGAAGTCGCGCTGACCATGAGCCCTACACACCTGACCAAGCGAGCATATTATACACATGCTGTTGTTTTAATATCTTACTGTAACGTGATCATTTGTAGTTTTTTTTTACTTGAAGAAAAAATATCACTAGATCTACGTCGTCTTAGGTTTTGACACAAATTAATGATGTTTGCCTACAATGATTTAATCACAGGATCAATCACAGCCTAGATCTGTTTTCAAACGTCAAGCTTAAATTGTTTGAAATGTTTAAAATTAAACTT